TCGTGAGGTATATGAAAATCTATTTGATGAACGCTGTCGCCATCTAAAGGCATGCCAATGAAATAATATTAAAAAATAAACAAAAAATATGCTAATTTTGTGAAATACGAAATATCTTTGTTTTAAATGATTAAAACATTAACAATTAATAACAGCAACTACGGTCACTACAGACGATGTATTATCTAGTTTATATGTACAAATATGCATATAACAATAATGGAACACTTGATGAATATGATAAATACGGCAATACACGTTAGTTTTATTTAGGTATGTTCCCTTTTGACCTAAAGTTAACTTGTTGCCAGTTTCAAGTTGACTTCGTACTAACTTAGTGTTAATTTCAAATCAACCTTATGTTGATTTAATATCTAATTTATGTCCAGACAATTCCTTTTGGAGTGTTTGGTGTATCTTTGGTTTTTCTCCCAGCCATAATGCACTAGTGGTCATGTGACCTATTTGTTATTTATTTCTTTGTAGTTTACGCATAAAGCTACACAATGATCTATCTATGCTCTGCCCACCACGGGTATCGAAACCCGGTTTTTAGAGTTGTAAATTCGCAGACATATTGCTGTGCCACTGGGGACACTGACATGTTAAACCTACTTTCTGAGGCAGTTTTCTTGCTAGTCCGCTATGCAGTCCTCTTTAGAACTTATCTTAGGTGCCCAGGTTGCTGAGCTCAATACCAAAGTCATGCAAAGTCTAATCGAATGAACTAAAATTGCTCAATAGGTGAATCACGTGATCGAAACCCGGTGCCAAATATTTAGCCCTTTCAGCTGTGGAGGCGTTCTAACCTTGTGGTCAACTCCTCTGTCGTTGGTAAAAAACAACTAAAGATTGGCAGGTAGCGTTTGGTTGTCTTACTTGTGGTCGGTAGTTTAAAGTAAGGAACAGCGTCAAATAGCCTTACTAGCTTAAGGAACAGCGGTAGATAGCCTTACTAGCTTAAGGAACAGCGGCAGATAGCCTTACTAGTTTAAGGAATGACACATTTGACTGTCACGCGTGTCAGTTAAAGCTGTTTTATCTCATCTCTTCTTTACTGGATTTGATAATGTCACTTTTACCACATCAAATTTATTATTTTAGAAATAAGTAGATAAATATTCCTGCGTCTGCTTTAATTTGTCATTTCCTGCAAAGAAGATCAATTTGTTTGTTTTGTTGAATTTCGTACAAAGCTACTCGAAGGCTATCTGCACTAGCAACCCTAATTTAGAAGCGATAAACTCGAGGGGAGGTATCTAGTCAACACCATCTTCCCCCAACTCTTGGGCTACCCTTTACCCACAAAAAATGGGATTGCCAGTCACATTATAACGCCACCACATCTGAAAGGGCGAGCATGTCCACTGACGGGATTCGAGCCCACGACTTGCAGATTAGGAGTCAAGCGCCATCTTTCTCATGAAGGCAGCCGATGAGTTCGAGTGTGACAATAAAGTTGTAAGCTTTAGGCCTGTAATCGTTTTTTAACTTCAAATACACATTTGTTATCTTGTTATTATAACTAGGATATAAGCCTAGCTTCATAGTGACGAAGCTGTTGGGTCAGAGAGTGTTCTTATGTAACCGTAGCTTCACTTGTCAGATGAGAAATTTGGGTTTGATTGCCGTGGATTATGATTCCAAAAGCGTTGATGTCCTAAATGCTGTTTTGCAAAATTTTCCGGTTTCATGGAAAAAAATAAAGGTATTTTTCAAAATGTTCTGTTCTTTGGCATTATATTGTTTAACATAACTCTCGCCATATGAATATTTCATCCGGAATGGGTGGCCACATACACCCCCCCCCCCAATATATACAGTCAGCGCGCTTTGCTTTTATACGCAGGACAGATGACTGTACATAAAGTGATCGTAGGTAATTTGGATGTGCTTATATAGTCTGTAAATGATAATTTGCGGCTTATACATTTCGTAAACCCTGAATTAAGTAGTCATTAATTAACTGTGAAACATTTATAGCAACCGAATATGTTGCGGTCTAACCTCTTGATATGAAATACATAACGCTCGTTGATTACGTTACACTAACATTATGAATATGAAGCTCAGAAAGTGACCAGACAACCACATCCAATATGAATATGCGGTGAAACCGCATTTATAATAATTATATTTAAACATTTTTAGTATGTCAATGGTAGTGTGTTACCAACGGCAACTGATTGCTTTTGTGAGGGGTAAGTAACTTTCAAATATAAAATATTCATACAGTTAGACCATAAAAATATGTCGAGATCGGCGTTTTAGAATTTCTAAAACAGGGATGTGTCGTACACTTAACGGCATTGGAAAAGAGAAAGAATATGGGTCGATTTCGGACACTAAAACCACACTAAAAAAAGAGGCCTACAACAAGTCGTACTCAAACAATGGCAAGCAAAATGCGACGTCTAGTAGTAGTATGTGAAAATTAACGAACATGAACGTCAGTGGTAAATGCTGTCTACGTGTATCAAACAATAGTACTCGACTTAAGCAAGAAGGATCTGAAAAAGTCATGTTGCTTCCAAGATATATTTGTTCAATCATCACATACCTCAAGAAACTGGAAAATGAAACGAGTATTCATGCTATCCCATAGAAAGGTATACCAGTAAAGTTGCTGAACTTAGCACTTATAGATTTCTGTGGGATCGGATCTGGTGGCTTTGACGATCCATTTGCAATATGCAAGTTGCGGGATCGCAACTCGACACCAACCATGCTCCCCACTTCAGCCGTGGGAGCATTATACCTTGACGGCCAATTTCATTATTCATCGATAAAGAGTAGCCTAGGATTTGACAGTGGACGATGTTGACTTTCTGCTTTTCCTCTAGTCTGTCAGTTCAAAATTAAGTACTGCTAGTGCAGTTAATCTTGTAGAAGCTTTGCGCAAAAAATCAACAACAACAACAAAACTGTACGATCAGACTGTTGGAATGGGCGCTGGTAAATCGTCATCCACGTACAATAGATGGCTTATGGAAATTAGGTAGGGAAAAGAAGTGTGCTTTAGACATGACATGATAACGACATAGCTTTTTCCAATGAAAACTATACTGCAGAACTGTTGTCAAGATACAAGTCCGTCTGTAACATAGAGTACGACCAGGCGTGGTGACATGGACTGTAACAACGTGGTGAGGCTCAAAAATCATTTTAATGTTACATACTCAACCACCGTACACACACACAAACAAACCCATATTTTACTTTAGAAGTTATCTCAAGAATACGCTCATAATATCTTGTGAACACAGAAATAGATGGTTTTAAGTTAATTTACTATTTGTTGCAGAATGTTTCGTAAACCTACATAAGGACTATCAGCAAATCGTCTCTAATTTTGATCTGTCGGATTAGTGGGATGATAGATAATCAATATCGATAACCATGAAGCCACGTCCGGCTACTCATCGTAAAGTAATTGCACGTTATTAAAAATCAGTAAACTTAGGAGATATTTGACTGTCTATAATTCGACATTGTTTGAAATGCATCAAATGAAATTCCTTGAAATATCTGATTTGTAATAACAAAAAATTCAAAGTGTTTAACCTTAGATCAAAGTTGTTCAAAAACAAAAAAATGAAGCTCGATGATTCACATTCGCATCTGTCTGCCACCACAGAATCAGTAAAATATATGTAAATCACTCTATATACACGGGTGACTGTTTCATTGAGGAGGACTCTTCTACTTCACTTTTCCCTATTATTTATATCTGTCTCTACTTTATCTTCTCTCTGATTTGAAGTTTCAAGTAAGATTTAAGGGTCATACAGAAACACCTGTAGTCACTTGCCAGTCTACCAGTAGAATAGCATTTTTCTCAATTTTAATTTTTTTTTTGTGTTTCGTTATCAATTCAATCCTGCATTCTTTACTAGAATTTTTAAGAGCTTGTAAAAATAATTCAGGTTAATCATTATTATTTCTGACAGGAAAGTACGTTATAGTTTCTATTAACATTTACTCATTTTTCTTTAATTCGAAATACAAGAATCAATCAAAAATGCGCGATGAAAAGTTAAATTAGCTAATCTAGCACGGATGCTTGTAGGCTATGAGAAGTTTTGGCTTCTGTACGTTTGAAAGTATTTGTTAAAATTAAAGGGCACATTGCACTGATATTACATCATAGAATTATAATAAAATTAGTTTTTTTTTTTTAAAGCAAACCTACATTGGGCTATCTGCTTTGTACACTGTGGGAAATCTAGCCCCAGATGTTAACGTTGTAAGTGTATAAAGTTACCGCTGTCCTACCGGGAGTTTGTTTGTAATTAAGTACAAAGCTACACAATGGGCTATCTGTGCTCTGGCCACCACGGGTATCGAAGCCCAGATTCTAGCGTTGTAAGTCCGCAGACATAGCGCTGTACCACTGGGGGCCCTACCGGGGGATATACTGAAAGTGGATATAGATATATAACTTAAGAATAACTAAATGTAGGTGGACATAGTACTTACGTAGAAATATTTATACATATATACACAACCAATTTCCTCAAACGAATATACTTATATACGTAAATATTTTGGTGTTGTTTTAACTTTCTTTAAGGTTTATAATCATTCTGAAAGCTGAATCTGCATCATAGCTTTGAAGAATTCTCTATATTATCTGGTGTCGTAAAGTTTTTAATCTGTAAAAAAAAAATGTAAGTTCATACTCAACAGAGATTAGCCCGGACTTTCGAATAACCATGATAACATTATACTTTGTTATCTCCACAACATAGCAATTACTGGAATGGACTTTTTCTTTGGCTAGCTCATTATGTTACACTAGAAACCAGTTGAGTGTTTTGTGCATCTTACTATCAGTTGCTTAAATTTAATGTGAACGTGCATCGGATAAACGCCGTAATCATTAAAATGGCATTTACTAATTAAACTTATGTTACGACAACTTAAACCTGATCTTTCTTCACGTATTGGATTCCATGAGGTGCACATTTTAATAAATTTATTTTGGAAGGCAGAAAAACTCTACATAACATTTGGACGACGTAACAATAGATAAGTTCAGATTATACCGTCAATAACAATCAATTTAACAATATTACCTTTTATCTGCTCTTAAAGGTAATAATACCAAAATTATTTCCTTATTTCGACTGTTTTAGTTTTAATTCAATTTACAGCATTGAGAACTTCTAATGAACATCGAATAATATTCAGTCTACAAAGTATATCCGAATTACATCTCCTACATTTCTCTAAGGTAAAACGCTATCTGAAGGCCAAATAGTTAACTACAATATGTGACAATGATGTATAACAATCAGTTTTATGTAAAAGTTCAGAATTTCGGAGGATTTCAATTATGTAAATAATAAATATTTTGTAAAAAAGGTCAGTTAATAGGTGATTCGAGGAATTATATTTTATTAATTCTGAAATATCAGAACACAGATCAATAACAGCTGGTTTTTTTTGTTTGTTTCTTTGTCAATTTATCGAAATTTTGTGTACCCTACACTTAGTATATATTATGATTAAGAAGACAATATTGTAATGAAACAGCCTAAGGGTAAGAGCCCGATAATATATCGAAAATAAATAAATAAACAGTTATATCAAGTAAATATTATATATTTTGAAGGAAAGATTACTCCTCAAGCTTCAGTTGTCTTCTGAGCGACGTTTTCGCGTGTCGTGATGGCTACACTTCGAAACGGCACTAACCCTGTTTCTTGTCTCGTTCTTCCACAAGAGAGCGCTTTCTTGAAAGCACGTCTAAACTTGACAGACATGGCATTGTAGAGAATCGGGTTAATAGCGCTGTTGATGAAGATCATCGTCTTACAGAACATCAAGAACCAGAGTTCCATGTAGCGTTCTTTAGCCAGCGAGTTGTAAACCAAAAGTACTCGATAGGGCATCCACAGGGTAGCGAATACAGCTACAACTACAGCTAACATCTTCACCACCTAGCATAAAAATACGTTTTTAAGTAAAATGAAATAATTTTAAAATAAAGTAATTGGAAATAGCTCACTGACAAGTTTATTGATCTTGTGTTCTTCATTTATTTGATATATTTCCATTACCGACAGGCTCTTTAGTGGAATTTAATTATATTTGGCCCAAAATAACCTACAATCTGGGAAAGAAGTAATCGAAGTCTAACTTAATAAGTAAGAGACATTGGATTGTTGTAAGTTTTAATTCTTCTACACAACATGTTTCTGAAAAATGTTTGTTGTTGTTTTTTTGCTGTAAATTTATTGTCAATTTATGTGTGGCTGATCTTTTACTTAACAGACATACGATAGAAGAATAAGCATGTAGATTTTATGAGAAAAGATTAGATAAAGAAATAACTTTTTTCTTTACTACTACAAAGTGTAGCCGTTACTAATTGTAAGCTGATAGCCTAGAGGGAAGACAGCTATATAGTCAACAACATCCACCACCAGCTCTTGGACTACAAATGTCTCATCGAATAGTGAGATTTGACCCTCACTCTTACACTATATCCAGCCCCCCAGTGGCACAGCGGTATGTCTGCGGACTTACAACGCTAGAATACGGGTTTCGATACCCGTGGTGGGCAGAGCACAGATAGTCCATTGTGTAGCGTTGTGCTTAATTACAAACAAACACTATATCCATGACCCCAAACTGTGGAGCGTGTTTTTGCGACAGTAGAATACGAACATAGATCCTCGGACTCATGGTGTGAGCATGATGGCCAAAGAAGGAACGAAATAAGAAGGCATTAGAAGATGATGGACCTATATTTTAAACACGTGTTTGGTCAGAATATGTTTTTGTGCTTTAAATTGGTAAAACAGGAGCAACTTAAATTTGTTGAATTCTTCAAAATGAATTTAGTTCCGTCTCTTATTAACCACATGCTACCTATGTATGTTAAATATTGCCTATATGTGAGGAATAATAGGTAGATATGTTTTAATAGAGCGTTTTAGATATGTTTTATATCCTATAATGACATGCTTGCAAATTACACTTTGAGCGTTAAACTGAAATGCCTGCTTTAAAGAACACCAACAACATTAAACTATTTAATATTTGTATCCACACTTTACAGGCGTAATAAAAGTATATTTATGTATATGAATATTTATAACGCTAAGCATTAGTTTATCGTATCTTAACAGCTTGGAAAACAGAAACCAGAAATTTGTAGCAATAATCAGTTTGTTTTTCTATATATATTTTTCTTTATTATAAGTATACGCCGTAATGAATCTTATTTTTTAATACTTTTACACGAGAGTGGGTTAACCATGAAGTATAAACTACAAATATATCATTGAAAATGATTTACATTTCCACAGAAACTTTTACAGAAAGAACAGTGATGGAAACAATAGAATGTTAACGTTAATTAGAATGAATAGTATGAGTATTGAAGTTTTGTTATATGAAAAGTGATCCTAATTGACTATACACTAACGTTACTGATGGAAACTTTTAGACCCGGTTAATGCTGTACTGATTTTCCACTAAATGACTTTCTATGTAACGACTTTAGATTCCATTAAATGTAAAAACTGTTAACTATTTATTTTTATTTTCAGTTTACTTACTGATTAAGTATATTTTATTACAATTGACAGCTTTTACAGTAAGTAAGATTTGTTTCTAGAACAGGTACTTGTGTACTTGACAATGATCGCACCAGTTATCGAAACGTCGTACTTGTTCTAAAAATAAATCTTGCTTACTGCAAAAGTTGGAAATTGTAATAAAAATATACTTTAATTATTTGTTTGTTTCGCAGTTTTTGCGCAAAGCTATACAAGGACTATCTTTCATAGCCATTTCTAGTTTTGAACTGACAGACCAGGTGGAAGGCAACTAGACGACACTACCAAATGCTAACTCTTGGGCTAATCAAATAATGAGATTTGACAGTCAATTTTGCTGTAATGGAACGCCGAAAACCATTAACCATCGGTCCGCTGTCCGGCACGTCAACCACAAGTTCACGTCTGGTCCACCGAATAGTTATAAATATGCCGGAGATATATAGAACACTAACCAACCCGTACTCATAATATAGGTTTTTCATCTTAGATATTACTTTATAATTAGATCATTTTTGTTCAGTGTTTAAATTCATATCTACGTCGTGAATCAAGAATCGTTGATATTGTTAATGGTTTTATTTATAACGTTCTAAAAGTTGTTAAAAAATAAAATACATTTTAAAGCTCTATCAGTCAAATCGTTATTTTCACTGGTGCTGTTGCTGAATTATAGTTCTAATGTGGTGAAACAAGAAATATGATAAAATAACAGTATCTGTTTAAAATATGCAACATACAATTTTTGGTGTTTGTTTATAATTCTCTCTCTCTCTCGGGCCCGGCATGGTCAGGTGGTTAAGGCACTCGACTCGCAATCTGATTCGAATCTCCGTCACACCAAACATGCTCGCCCTTTCAGCCGTGGGGGCGTTATAATGTTACGGTCAATCCCACTATTCGTTTGTAAAAGAGTAGCCCAAGAATTGGTGGTGGGTGGTGATGACTAGCTGCCTTCCCTCTAGTCTTACACTGCTAAATTAGGGACGGCTAGCGCAGATAGCCCTCGTGTAGATTTGTGCGAAATTCAAAAACAAAAACAAACTCTCTCTCTCTCTCTCTATATATATATATATACATGGTAAAACATTTTATTTTATTTTATTTTATACTCGTGGGTCTCATACCTGACCTGTAATAATTCTAAGGAGTTTATAGTGCACATCTATGGGTCTAATTCCTAATCTGTAATAACTAGAGAGATTATAATAGATGTGTGAGTGTTATACCTCACCTTTTATAATTCTAAAGAGGTAAATTACATGTGTTGGTCTCATGTGAGGTCATTTTTACCAACCAACAAAATTACGATGTTATAAACACACAAAAAGGAAGAAAACAGCTATAGAATACGTAATTGTATGTAATGTGAAGCTATGTTTGGAATACAAACAATGAATTACTTATTTTTGACACAGGATGATCCCAACCTTATAATAGACATTTCCATAAATACACCAGTAGAAAAGACGGCTAAGAGTAGCATGTATTAATAACATCTTCTTATCCATACATAATACACACAAACATCTGTTATTTTCACCCTGGTTTTGTATTTATAGGTTTCCAACGTTCCATCTTCAAATATGCTGTATATTAAAATTTAGCTTTTCGTTTGAAAGCGTAAGGGAGTTGGTATTTATTATAAAATATTTTATGGTAATCATACCGTTAATAAAGATAACTTTAAATTTGTTTCCGTTATAGCACACAGTGCTAACGTATCGTGATATTCCCGGATGAAAACAACTACACACCTATCACGTTATTCAATGAAGGCACAATCTGTTTGAGAAGTATATTAAATATATCCGTCATTCTAGCACGTTATATATATATATATATATATAATTTTTACATGAACGTGAAAAGGTCTGCATGTAAGTAACGTGTAAATTCGCGAGGAAATAATGCACAGAGTGTGCCAGTAATGGGACCATTAATCATCGGTCTTCAGGGAACTGAGTGAGTATCAGAAAGTTGTGTCATAGGAGTTTATCAAAGAGTTCATAAATCTCGGTTGACCGCGATATCGACAGCGTGATATTACTCTGACCTATTTACTGATAATTGACCATTCGTTTTACAATAATTTACAGGGACCGCCTCCATCTTTCTTTTTGAGAGAATTGGAACTAACCTGAATGATAAAACATCAGCATTGTTTTAGAAACAAAACATTACTATGATAACATTAACGAAAACAAACAGTATGAGGGAGAGTTAAACGATTTTTATGTTGTTCAACCTGGCTTGCAGCGCCAAAGGTACTAATCCACAAAGATTATCAAACTATATTTTTTCTAGCTATCACGGCGTTTGGAAGTTTTGCGACGTAGAAATATTGCTTTTTGAATTTGAACATCAACAATCTGAGAACTTACCTGAATAAACCAAAGTAATACATCTACAATAAGCTTTTTGTTTCCTTTTTACTACAGGACTGTGCTTAACCTGTGGTTAGCGTGGCGAGCTTGGGATCCTAAAGTCCAAGGTTTGAGCCGCGATATGCCACCCAACACGTTTGCACTTTCAGCTGTGGGATATCATAACTGTGACAGTTAATCCCGTTCTTTGACTAAGAGTTGTAAAAAATATGTGCATAGACGGCGAGTGCTGCTGACTTGTTGTCCTCTCAGCAGTTCTAAATTAGGGTTGACTGCCTCATTCATCTCTTAGGGTTACTGATCAGACCATTTAGCCTGTACATCACATAAAGTGATATTCAAGTAGAGAATATCAAACGTAAAAATTTATTATCTACAAGTACTAAGTAAAATTATTTGTCAAATTTGTAAGTTCTTATAAAGTGTACTGTTCGTTAAACATGTCTCAGAATGTGTTATGCCTTATATAATGCCATGATCTATATAAATAAATTGTGACTGTGTTCTAAAAGTGCATAGTAAACAAAAAATTTAGATGATTTTAACTGTTCACAAAGAAACATATACCTATGACAAAAGAGACAGATGTTTTTATTTTTACTTTTATGGGTTTTGCAGCTGTTGTAATAATATCGTTACAGTAAAAAGTCATTATGCTTTAACACTGAAAAATGTTCTCAGAAGAGATAAAACTACTAGAAAAGCTTTATTTTTTTAGACTTTCGCCCTCTTCCATATATATATATATATATGACAATTTAGACTAGAAAAATTTATAAACTTGTTAACTATAAAGCATGATTTGAAGTTGCGAAAACCATGTGTTTCTTTTTACCGCCCAGTAGCTTGTGCAACTTCCTGATAGCGAAAAACCGGATTAAAGGTGATAAACTACCACACGACCAGCTTATAATAGCGACTTGGATTGATTACAAGCAGTAAGGCTAAACTCGCTATCTCAAACGAACATGAGCGAGCGGGCTTTAT